CCATGATTTAAAAATAATATTAATAAATCACTGGAAAAAAATATGCTCTCTTCTGAGCATATTCCAGCTTGCCATTGCCCTTCATAAAAACCAGTGTCCAGAACTGATGCAATCTTCTGGGTGCAATCTGACCAATGCAGAAGAAAGAATGACAACTGCTTTTGATCGCCACATCCCTTAAGGAATGTCAAGCAGCATGCCTCATTTTGCCCCTCAATAAGGACAACTTGATGAGGAATGTTGATGTGGAAGAAAATTATTTTACACATTTATAATAAGTCTTTCAAGAATAACAGAGTTGGAAGGGACCTTGGAGGTCTTCTAGTCCAACCCCTTGCATAAGCAGAAGACCCTATACCTTTCTGGACAAATAGTTGCCCAATCTCTTCTTAAAAACCTCCAGTGTTGGAACATCCACAACTTCTGGAGGCAAGCCAGGATTAATTGTTCTCACTGACAGGAAATTTCTCCTTAGTTCTAGGTTGGTTCTCTCCTTGATTATTTTCCATCCATTGTTTCTTGTCCTGCCTTCAGGTGCTTTGGAGAATAGGTTGAAACCCTCTTCTTTGTGGTAGCCCCTCAAATATTGGAACACTGCTATCAGGTCTCCCCTAGTCTTTCTTATCATTAAATCAGACATACCCAATTTCTGCAACTCTTCTTCATATATTTTAGCCTCCAGTCCCGTAATCATCTTTGTTGATCTTCTCTGTACTCTTTCTAGAGTTTCTGCATTTATACATACATATATATACATACATACATACATACATACATACATACATACATACATATATGTAGGTCTTTGGTTATTCGGGTCTTCTCCCACGTAAAATTGGAAGTGTCTTGGCGACGTTTCGACGAAGTCTCATTCGTCATCTTCAGGCTGGTGTTCTCGGCTTCGTGCTTCCAGGAGCAAACGGAAGCACGAAGCCAAGAACACCAGCCTGAAGATGACAAATGAGACTTCGTCGAAACGTCGCCAAGACACTTCCAATTTTACGTGGGAGAAGACCCGAATAACCAAAGACCCACATACAAACACCCGCGAAAACCTGAGAAAACTGGATGCCATATTCCAAGTGCGGTCTTACTAAGGCTTTGTAAAGCGCTACTAGAATTCCACGTGATCTTGATTCTCTCCCTCTGTTAATGCAGCCTAGGTCTCTGCTGGCTTTTTTTGCAGCTGCAATCAATGTATTCTTTTTAGCCGTAATAAGATGCCTTCCAAGTAATGTACCAAAAGAAAGGCCTTTAAATGAGATTACTTCTTAACAATAAGCGTTCACATAGACAAGCTTGATATTGCTTGAAGACCCCAACAGGTTGTAAAATATGTAAATTATATGATCCAATAAGTAGACATGTTATGTCTGGTTGGCAAAAGGCCAGAAGAACACTGAGGGTAGCAAAAAAAAAATGAGTGTTTCTGTATATGTCACTGCCATTTAATGGCCAATCAACCAGGATCTGGAACTTACTTACAATCTATAGTAAGAAACTTTGTATCTATGAATAAATAAATATTTTTTCCCGTGAGCTTAAATTTTCTTGTCTTGCACATTATGCAGGAGATCATGAATTTATATCAGTCATTAAAAGTGTTGCAGGCTGGACTGTTCTCCATTTTCTAAATAACCTTTTAATGAGGAATCTGTTCTGCAGCCCTCCTGTCACAACTTAACTATTTCTCAAAGTGCCCCAGCGGAGACATTTGGGCTATGTACTGCCCATTCATTACAACAAAATTTTGCTTGGAGGAAGCATTTAATTTTCTGGCCCTGGGCACATTTCCATAAGTTAAAGACTGATCAGTAGAAAGAGGATTTTATGCCTCATGTTGAAAACTAGACAGGATGTAAAATGAGGCATGACAGAGCAAAGTGCTATTGAATGAGAGGTGAGTAAAATTACTGGAGGTATTGATTTCAGTTAAAGATTCTTAAACTCTTGGGCTAAGAGATTGGCCTCAGACACAGATGCTCAAAAGTCCTTTTTTAGAATGCAGGTAGTTCTTGACCTACAACCATTCATTTAGGACCATTTGAAGTTAGCACTGAAAAAAGTGACTTATGACCATTTTTCACACTTAACACACTTAGCATTCCTATGGCCATGTGATAAAAATTCAGATGCTTTGCAATTGGTTCATATTTATGATAGTTGGAGTGTCCTGGGGTTATGTGATCTCCTGTTGTGACCTTTGGACAAGCAATGGGGAAGTCAGATTCACTAGCTTAAAAAGTGCAGCGATATTTAACAACTATCTCACTCAGCAAGATAAATTTTGGATTCAATCATGGTTGTAAGTCAAGGACTACTTGTAGTCTGTCTAGAGCAGGACCAGTCATATTTTTTCTCTCAAGATTTATACTTCAAGATGGGAGACAATGAAAGGAATTATGCCTGCAGCAAAAGTGGGGTACAGCACACATAATTTCCCAAGAATAACCTTTTTAAATACTGTTTCTCAAGCAGCTGATTATGGGAAAGAGGACAGATAATGCTAATCAAAGATCCAAACTGATTACTTGGTGGAAGAGTTGGTCAGGCCTTAGATCTGGTTTAATGTCACACCTTGACTTGAACCTTAGGCAAGAATGATCCATGAGTCCATTTTATGAGAAAGGTATACTTTACTAAAGGTCAAGCGAAGTACAATAAGGCAAAGCCAGATCTAAGGTTCGCGCACCAAATTCCCAAGCATAATTTCCCCCTTCCAGGATCCTCGCCATCATTGTCCTCGATTGTCCAATCATATTCAAACTAGATGTTGTTGGAACGGTCACCCTTCATATGCAGCTACCTTCGTTTGCAGACAGTTGTCCTTGAATTTGTGTCTGCAGCCAGAACAGGCAGCAGCAGAGTCTTCCTCCCACCTCCCATTCAGTTTTCCTCTCCCCTTAACTCATGGCAGACTGGCACTGAAGCAAAATATTAAGGCGAGTGCAAGGTGGCAGTTCTGACATTGTCTTTATAGGACCCCTTGGTGTTTTATAGCTCTTCATGAATATTATTGTACAAAAAAAAGCTTTTATTGCACAGTTGCAATAAAGGACTAAACGAGGTAAAGAAACTCTGCAGTTCCCTGATGCAGTATCGTATTCAGTGCAGCTTTGTCTGATGTCCAGGATTTCAGCCTCACATGCTGTGATCATGTGCTCTTCTTGCTTGTTTTCTTTCTAGGCAGGACTTGACTACTTTGATCCTCATGCTCATCATCTTGTAATACTCATGTCAAATCTGCTGGCTTAAGGGCAGATTCAATATCAAAAACTGTCTTCTTTCTGCAGTGACTTAAATATTCAAAGTCTCCCCTGGAACACTGCGAAACTAAGATGAATGCTTCTGTGCCTTAAAAAGCAAAAGCTTCTCCTCTCCATCTTCTCCATGTACCTGGTGGGCATTAGAAGAGCTTTCATATGCAAGAGGCAATCATCTTCTTTTCACGATCCCATAAACCCTTGCAGGGTGGAGTCAGGGCAACTGAATGGAACTGAGTGTTTCCTGGCCAGATGCCTTTCCTGTCGCCAATGAGGAGCTTCATTCAGCGGATATATTCTCATTGTGCCCAGAGAGAGAAATATCTGCCTCTACCTAGGATCGAATTTACAGCCTCCTGATTGTGAGGCGAGAGCTCCACCTCTAGGCCACCACACCACTCCATATGCAAGAGACAATAGGAGAGATATTTTCATAAAAGGGGGATCCAGTGCAAACTTACATGTACATGCAGGAGCTGCTTTAGGCATACATCAGAGATCAGGTCAGATTCCACAGCTCTTCTGGCTTATTCTTTAGAGCAGTGTTTCTCAACCTTGGCAGCTTGAAGCTGTGTGGACTTCTTGAGGTAAATTTGGAGAACTGAAGTTCCCACATCTTCAAGTAAATGGCCAAAGCTTTTGTTTTCATTGATCACTCAGAAACTTTATGTGACCAGTTTCATCATTCTTGGGTAACATCAGACATGAATGGTGGAATTGGTAGATCTTATTCCATGGGGTTCCATGGAATTAAATGAATAATTTAAGGGAGGGATAATTTAAGGGGAGGGAATGGAGATTTTACAGTATCCTTCCCCTGGAGTGGTGTAGGAATGGAGATTTTACAGTATCCTTCCCCTGCCACGCCCACCAAGCCACACCCACCAAGCCATGCCATGCCCACCAAGCCACACCTACCAAGCCATGCCACGCCCTCCAAGCCACACCCACAGAACCAGTAGTAAAAAAAATTGAAACCCACCACTGCTTAGAACCATCTTATAAATTGCTCATTAACATTGAAAGATCTTACATTAAGAGCTTCCTTTATGCAATAATTGGGAGAGCTGGCTTTTGATTTATTTTTACTATTGCATTTTAGGTTTTAGTGATCAGATGGCCAAAGCAATTTTTGGATCCAAACACATTAAGCACACCAGTGAATAAAGGGATTTTAAGCTTTATGATTAGCTCAAGGAAACCAATTTTATATATACGAAGCAAGATAATACTCATATCTCTTACAGGCCTGTCAGGAGCTCTTAATAGCAACAACAGAGGTACCCCAAGGGTAGCCAATACCCATCACTAGGTTCTATGCTGAATTTCCCCACGACAACAGCCCCAAGGGTTTTTTTAATCAAAAGCTGGCACCATGGTTCTGCTGTGGTCAGACCTGGCCTTGATAGGATGGCACATGACTCTGGGATGGAAATTGAGATTTTCACAGCTTTGAAGATTCCCCCCTTTTCCTTTATTCAGTAAACAAGAATTTAAAAAACAAGCAGGTCAGCTCAGAATGCGCTCTTAACATATCTAGACTTTTCTTAATATGTAGGAGAAATCAAGACAAGTCGCTAGAGGCCTCAAAATAAACAATAGTCGTCCACCTTGCCACAACAAATACCTATTGGAGAATTGAATTCAGTATGTATAAATATATGCAATCCTGTCAATCATATACTCTTGTTTTTTCTGTGTGTTTTTTTTTTTACTTTATTTTATTTTCCATCACAGGAGCGTAAATTTCCTAAATTTGTGTCCAAAGAAATGGAAAACATGTTCATTGAAGAGTTGAAGTCATCGGTCAATTTACTCATGGCAAATCTGGAAAGCATGCCAGTGTCCAAAGGAGGTTCCGAGTTCAAGTTACAAAAACTAAAACGCAGTCACAACACTTCCATCATTGACATGGGAGAGGAGAACGAAAACCAGCTCTCCAAATCAGATGTTGTGCTGTCTTTCTCCCTGGAGGTAACATCTAGTTTTCATCAAATAAATAAAAAGGTGTTGTAAAATAACCATTGTAAAATTTGGGCAACATGAATGTCATTTTAAAGCAGCTCAGTAATTGATGTCTTGGCAATCAGAACTTAAAAAGGGAATCACAACTTTTTATATTTTTTGCATTTGGGATGTAAGGAATACAGACAGCTACCATATTTTTCGGAGTATAAGATGCACCAGACTATAAGATGCACCTACCTTTTTTGGTGAGGAAAACAAGAAAAAGAAATCTGCCTCTGCCTCCCAGCAATTTTGCCTTGTTGCAGCAAACAGCAAACAGCCTGCTTTACTTTCATTTTCATTTTCAGCATAATTTGATTAGCGCAAGGAAAAAAAAATCTGCTCCAGCAATTTACCTCCTTGCAGCAAGCAGCAGAGCCCTGCGCAAAACAGCTGAGAGCAAATCAGCTGAGAGGCGGGAGGCTGATCTAATCAACTTGTGCTAATTAGGCTGTGCTGAAGCTGAAAGGAGCTGTTTCTTCTCGCTATTTGCTGCAAGGAAGTAACTGCTGGGAGGCAGAGGCCAAAGGGTGGGGGCCAGTGAGTGAGCGGGGCTACATTCGGTGTATAAGACACACCTAAATTTTCACCCCCTTTTAGGGGGGAAAAAGGTATGTCTTATACTCCGAAAAATAAGGTAACTTATCAGTCTGTAAACTCTGAACCAAGATACCACCACACTTAACCATTGCATGGATTTTTAATATGAAAAATGGTAGATGGATAGCACGGTCTGGAAACACATGCAGGGTAAGAGACCCTGGAGAACTTACAAGAAAGGCAGGAAAGGATTTTCACAGGCTGATAAGTTTGTTTCTCAAGTTTTTAATTGACAGGTTGTTTTCCACTGACTCATGGGTTTCAGGCAGGAGAGGGTTTTTTTTCCCCCATGCTTTCGTAGAGATGCTGGAGATTGAAGCTAGGGTCTCAGGGATGGCAAGCAGGTGTTATACTTGGGCTACCTGGCGAAGAGTTGTAGTAGGGAAGATTGAAGTCAAAGATAATGCTGGAGGTCAGCTGTTCTTGCGTTTCAAGGAAAATGTTTGAATTGATTAAATATTTAATTAAATAAAATTAATATTTCAGTGGGATAAGGAGCCTAACAGGCTCTTAAAGGGGAAGCAGTAGCCTATTGCTCTTCCCAGTGTTTTTGGTTAATGTGAGGATTCTAATTTCAAACAACAACAAATCCCACAACCTTCCAATTTACCCCTGCACTCCTACATGGTAGATTTTTAGATGCTTTCCTCAAAGCATAATTTATGCTTAATTCTGGAACTGACACACTTTCCCTCCCTCCCTCCCTCTCTCTCTTTCTCTCTCTCTCTCTCCCTCTCCTTTAGGTTGTCATCATGGAAGTTCAGGGTCTCAAATCCTTAGCACCCAACCGGATTGTTTATTGCACTATGGAAGTGGAAGGAGGAGAAAAACTACAGACTGACCAGGCTGAGGCATCCAAACCAACGTAAGTGTCCATCTTCGCCTCCATCACATTTCCTCCTTTATTTCAGATATGTACCTGGCACTCTAAGGAGCAAGGCTCCTGGATGCCCACAAGGTAACTTGGATGACCACAGCCACCCCATTATTGCTACCCTGGGGTGTCAGCTAGTGCTAGACCCTGACCTCCACTGGGCATATTTTATTTATTATTTATTAAGAAAATTTATATGGCTGTCCAACTCACTCACTACAACTTTGTGGAAATATGTTGGAATAAGTGAAGAGTGGTACCCTTGGCTGGATTCATACCCTGGAGACTTTCTGGTTTTTCTTTGAAGACATTTCACTTCTCATCCAAGAAGCTTCTTCAGCTCTGACTTCCATATAAATCCTTCCATTCATCACCATCCAGTCAGAACTGAAGAAGCTTCTTGGATGAGAAGTAAAATGTCTTCAAAGAAAAAGAAAGAAAGTCCGTTTGCCTCTTGAAAAAGCACCTTTGGGAAAACCATGACCTGGATGACTGAGAATCTCCATAGACACGATCACTGAGCTCATTTTTTAAAATACTTTTGTCTAAGGGGCAAGTGACTAAAGTGATATTTACACCATTTTGACTATCATGCTAAAAATATATCCTACACATTCTTAATTCTGAATGAGCAAATCACAAACTGCCATCTTTTCATTCGGAAAGAAAGGAGAGTGATTGAGTTTGGTTCACACATCATACTAAGCCTAGTTTATTTAACTGATAAATTGCTGAATAAATCACAATGGCTGATTCACAAAACACGATAAGCTATAAACCATGTTTATAAACCAGACTTGCTGGCCTCCTACAATTTATTAAGCCATAAAGCAGGATTTATAAAGCTCCGTGAGCGAGTTCATAGAATACCACACCACATCCAAACGTGCTTATTGTATGGCTTAACAAAATGTGCACATCCATCTTAAATGTGCAGTAACTATTTTGGTCTAGAAACAACTATTCCAAACGTCAGTCAGTTTTATTTATAGCCAAAAGACCAAATACAAGATACAAATGCAATCTTAATTTGGTATTAGGCATAACAATTTAGCAAGTAAAATGTTTAATGAATATTACATAATACACTTAAAACCCCAATTTACTGATATGTTACTGAAAACCTTAGTTTTATAACCATAGCTAAACATTTAAAAAGAAAAGAAGTATTGTATAGTGAATGTTACAAAAGTCTTCAGCTGAAGTTATCTGGCCTATTTTAAAATCTAAACAAGGAAAACATACATCTGAGCATATAAAAATGTTACTTGCAGATGAAAATCCTAAGATTACAGCAGCAACAGCTAGATTTTTAACTGTGGCTATAAATAACTACTCCTAGCCTGTTTAAATCTTCCAGCCAATCCAGTTTGCCATAAATACAATAAGTATTGTTTCTAGCCTAGACATTTTCTTCTATTTCAGTGTCAGATTTTGCTGCTCTTCTCCCCCACACATTAACATAATGGAATAAAGAATAATTTGGAGTCTTCAGATAAATCCCAGTTATAATTTCTCCTGCACACCAATAACCTGTTTAGACAAGAGTTAGTAGGGCAGCTCTTAGTGCAGGGATGTCAAACTCACGGCCCAGGGGCTGGATGCGTCACATGCTGGCCCCACCCCTGCCCAGTTTAGCGAAGGGGGGAAAAGTCCCGATACGTCACGTGACAACGCCGTGACGATGCGAGTTTGACCCCCCTGTCCTAGTGCATTCTGCCCCACTGAAATGTGAAAACATGTGAAATATAGGTTGACCATGAGTCTCTATTCTTTTAAAGTCTATTCTGAGGAAAAAAATAATTCAATAATTATACGTCTTGCAACAAGAAAGGTTCAATGTTCTTGTGCTGACATTCAGCTTGCCTGATATATTATTGTACAATATACTTGATTTGGTTTTAAATGTAAAATTAAGTCAGCTGTATTCTTGGCAGCATTTTAGCTAATTGTTTGAATAGGAAATGTTCAAATATGCCAGTTTAATAGATTTAGTAATTGTATGTTGTGTAAAGACATTTTGTTTTAACTGAATTCTACAAATCAAACCTGCGGCAGACTCAGATTTCAGATAAAATTGTCCTATGCTCTAGAATCAGTTAAATTTATCTGTTATTGTTATGAGAAATAGGAGGAAAGGGATTCAATTGGATCACATTTTAAAGTGAACTAGCAAATTCAGTCTTCCATCTGAAATGAAAATCAATTATTCTTTAATATTTGGACTCTTAAAGTTTTGGTTATGTAGTCTTCCAATTAAAAATATATACAGAAAGTATATACTGGTGCAAAATAATAGACCTGAGATGATAGAATAGGAAATATGTGTACATTATAATAATGCATATACTGTACAATGGTATATACAAGGAAGTAAGAATATGATAATCCACATAGATTTTCATTTAATTTCATACAAATGAGTCAAACTTCAATTTATAAACATGAAAAATGGAGTGAAATCTAATACAGCAATTTGATCCATCCCTAATCTGCCTCATTGCTATGTCTCTGGTTACATTTTATTCATTAAATATTCAGGAGGTTCTAGAGGTTGTTATAATTTTTGTGTGCATGTGTCATTTATTGCAAGTTTTGCTTTCCCAAATTCACCTTGGAGTATGCAAAAGGCACAGCGTGCCATCTAATACAATCTAGGATTACCATACATCTGGGTCCCCCTCCCCCTTTCCACATCTCCTTTGTTTAATCTTTAAGTGCTCCATCTACCTGGGAATTCAAAGTATCATAAAACATCTGGGATTCTGCAGAATGAAAAGGCATGAGAGTGGGGTCTCCCTTGTTCCTCAGAAGGTCTCTTTGTGAGCAACAGACAGGTTTAGAAAGGCAAATAGAGGCTAGGAGCTTCAATGGGAGTCTGGCACGGTTGATTCACATGGCATTTATATTTTTCCAGAGAGAAAATAGAGATTTCTTTTGGGATTGGAAGGAAAGTGTGTTTGTAGTTTTGAACAACTAAGCCTTGTTAGCTCCCATGATTTGTTTGTTTGGCTATACAGGAAGTCCTCGACTTACAACCATTTGTTTAGCAACTGTTCAAAGTTACAATAGCACTGAAAAAAGGGACTTAAAATCTGTTCTCACATTTTCAACCAAGACCATGGTTGAAATTAATTAATTACATGGTCATGTAATTAAAATTCTGGCACTTGGCAATCAGTGTGTGTTTATGACAATTTCAGTGTCTTTGGGTCACATTTGTCAACTTGCAAAGCTTTCCCGACCTGGTCCTTAGTTGCCATAGGCAGGGGGATGGAGAGGATGGAGCTCCGCAGCTGTGTTGAGGAATTTGCACCTCAGTCAAAACAATGCACATCCTAGCCGGCCAAAGTCAAGGCCATCTCCACAGAAACTAGTAACAGCCGGAAGGAGTGATTTCTACAACCCGCAAAATTGCTTTGTTGGGGAATGTGACTGATAACACACCTTGGGGGGGAGGGGGAAACAGGGTCAGAGGCAAGGTGCAAAGTGAGGGGGTCAGAGTTGGCTTCATTAGGTCTGTGCCGACATGGCGCTCCTAATAAACAACTAGATTTTTCTTGAAAACTGGCTTGAGGCTCCTGCTTTTATTGGGGCATCGGTCTGAACCCTGACAACATGATCTTTATTTGTGACCTTCCCAGCTGGCTTCTGATCAGCAAAGCAATGGAAGAAGTTGAATTCAGTTAAGAACCATGTGATTCATTGAACAACCGGGGTAATTCATTTAGCCATACTATAAAAAAAAGGTCATAAAATTGGGTGTGATTCACTTAACAATCACCTCGCTTGGTAATACCCTGTTTCCCTGAAAATAAGACCCAACTGGAAAATAAGCCCCAGCATGATTTTTCAGGATGCTCATAATATAAACCCTACCCCCCAAATTAGCCCCAGTTAAGATCGGCAACCAGACAGAGGCATTTAGTACTGTATTTCCCCCAAAATAAGACCTAACCGGAAAATAAGCCATAATGCGTCTTTTGGAGCAAAAATTAATATAAGACCCAGTCTTATTTTGGGGAAAACACGGTGGATGTTCTGGTCTCGATTGTAGTCATAAGTCGAGGATAACCTACAGTTCTTGATTTTGAGCTTAGGGGAAAAACTATTTCCACAGTGTCAAATACAGCTTCTGCTTCAGGAGGCATTCTCTTTATTATCTGGATTATTTTTTCAGTTTGTGCTTTAAAGCAAAAAAAAAAAAAAAATCCAATTATAGTAGCTTTTGCTTATTATATAGATTTCTTTTTTTTTGCTTCACTTTAGATTCTTCCCTCAGCTTCAGTTCCTAATAACTTGTTCCACCGGATCTATTTCTTCATAGCACGTGAAAGGGAAAGAATATATGCCAGGAGAAAAGGGAAGGGAAGTAACAATGAAAAAAATAAGCAAATATGATGCAGCATATGAAGTAGATTCCTGCACCCTGCATTTAAAGTGCCTGCCTTTAACTCTTTCAAACCATTTAATAGTGCAAGTCTTAACAAAATCCTTGTCTGTAGATCAAAAATCCTTCAAGCACTCTGAAATTAATATACCCGTATAGCAGGGGTGGGTTCCAACCGGTGTTACTACCGGTTCTCTTTGTGCATGTGTTTTGCACGTGATCGCCACGCACGTGCTTGCTGCACTCACACGCACGCCAAACTTGCACTCCGCACAAGCACATTGGGTTTCTGGCCAGCTGAGGTGCGGCAATCCATTCTGCCGCGCCTATCAGCTGTGCTAAAAACCAAGAGATAAAGGTAGGAATAAAGCAGGGGCGGGCGGGTGGGCCCAGCTCTCAGTCACAGAGAACCAGTTCAGTGACGTCACATCATCACCGCTACCAGCTCGGCCGAACTGGGAGCAACCCACCACCGCCATATAGGCTTTCACAGCCAAAGTCAATCAAGCAACAAAAGCCTTTCAGGCTGTATAACCTGGTCTGTATTTTCCTGGTGTCCTGATGTTTCACTGGCATTGCGGCTGGTGTCTTTGGGAGGCAG